AACTTGTACATTCTGCATGGGAAGGCAAAATCTTAACCACTGGACCACTTGGGAAGTACCAGAAATCAAGTTTAATAATACGTCTTTATTTACAGGTTGTTGTGATGAACACATGAGGTAATGCATTGCAAAACATTTAGAATTCATTCATGTACTGTTTATATGATACCATTTCTTAGTCAGTCATCCATTTTATTAGTTTTTTCAAAATAATTCTATAAATTGCTTAACCAAACTGATTTTACTGGTCTTGGTATATGTTGTGTATATGGAGAGTGGAGAAGAAGAGAACAAAGACACTAAAACACAAATACTAAACTAAATAGATGTTTAGGATTTTTTAATGAAGTAAATATGGAAGATAATGATATTTTTCTTTTCCTAAGTGAATGTATTAATGGTAATATGTAAAGATAAAAAGATAGGTAAAATATTTAAAAAATAGACTAAATTAGAATCTGTATAAAAAATATAGAATAAGTGTGAGTAACACAAAGTGGAGTTTGAAATAAGACTAAAACTACAGATAATTGGAGTTGAGAATTGGTGGACAGTATGTCAGAAGTTCAGAGAAGGCAACAGCACCCCACTCCAGTACTCTTGCCTGGAAAATCCCGTGGACGGAGAAGCCTGGTAGGCTGCAGTCCATGGGGTCGCTAAGAGTTGGATATGACTGAGAATCTGTATAAAAAATATAGAATAAGTGTGAGTAACACAAAGTGGAGTTTGAAATAAGACTAAAACTACAGATAATTGGAGTTGAGAATTGGTTTTTTTTTTTTTTTCATTTATTTTTATTAGTTGGAGGCTAATTACTTTACAATATTGTAGTGGTTTTTGTCACATTAGGACCATTCTGGAAGGGGAAGGGCAGATGATCATTGATTTAGTTCAGTGAGTAGAGAAGTATGATTTTTTATTTTGCAATGTTATTCTGAAATGTATTCCCCTAAAGAGAACTGAATCTACATTTATAAAGCAAAAACTCACTGATTCAACTCCATCTTTATTCCAAATATTGATCAAGCACTTCCCAAGGTGTGATTTTATCCAACTCTTCCATACAAATCTGTCAAGCATATACTATTATTGTGTGACTCATATCTTTGAGAATTTGACTAGTACAATATTTTGTCAAAGAATGCTTTGTCTTCAGGAAACACACACACACACACACACAAATTAATGCTTTGAATTGGTGAACTAATTCAAGTTTACTTTTGATCAAATTAAATTGGTTAATTACCAAAAGAACATTCAAAAAACTGATTGGAAAGGCATTTTTTCCCTCTTTTTAAATCAGTACAGTTAGTTTTCCAAATCATTATTAAAGACACAATTGTGCCCTAAACAAAGTAACTACTCTTCTCTTAGATGTATTATTCTTTTTTAAGTCTAACAGGAAATCTTAATAATAAAAAATATTGTTTGAATATTCTTCTTTAGTTGAAACATTGAAGTTGCTTCTATAGATACATAGTAGAAACCTGGAATTATGTAATCAAGATGTTATTTATGCAATTTTAACAAGTCATGGTAACTTGGGTCTCCTTTAATACTTTTATTCATCCACAGATTATACAAATGCTAACTTCACACGTGTGTTATTTACAATTCCATTTCCATAACTCTGCATTCTTCCTCCACCTGGAATCTGGATGCTTTCATTCATTCAAAATTCTTCGATTCTTCATAAGGCAATTAAAAAATTTACTTCATCAACAACTCAGCTTAAAATGTTTTCTTTGGTATCTAAATTTCTGTGGGACCTGTTTCTGACAACTACATCCACTATATAAATATAGAGGTGTGTGTTAGTGACTACTGATTTTCAAGCCTCACAATGTATTTCAAAGGCATATATAAAATAATAACATATAACACAGTATACAATAACATAAAATATAACATTATATATTGCATAATACATAATATCTGATAATACATAACAATTACAGAGATTATATAATATATAATATGATAATATGTAATATTATGTAACAATATATTATATATAACAATATAATATATAATTACTTTATCTATACCTTTAAAAAGCACACAGTATATACATAGATTATGATATAATATTGGGTATTAATCATTGGATATATTTTATTCAATAATTTTATATACCTTTGTAAAACATTATGGGCACTTGAAAAGCAGAAATAATAATATATTTATTTTTATACTCCAATGATGTTTCCTAAATGTTTGAAATATTGAATATTTTTGTTCCTAAAAAAAAAAAAGACACTATGGTCCTGCAGATTACCTCATGCTCATATTTGAGCTCAGGAATAATACTTTATTCACAATAAGCAAACCACAGCATAAAAACAGATGCTATGAAGAAAATAAATAGGAAGGAATGGATTAGCAGTGAGAATGATCATGCTAAGTGCCAAACATAGTTCCTGTCAAAGAACAGGAACATAGTAAGTTTGCAGAAATTAGTCTCTCAGGAATAATACTTTATTCACAATAAGCAAACCACAGCATAAAAACAGATGCTATGAAGAAAATAAATAGGAAGGAATGGATTAGCAGTGAGAATGATCATGCTAACTGCCAAACATAGTTCCTGTCAAAGAACAGGAACATAGTAAGTTTGCAGAAATTAGTCAGTGAAAAGATACGTTTTATACACAATTATAAATTCTTCTTTTTGGTCAGAATACATGGCTCTTTGTTTTTATTATCTTTTCTATAATCAGTCTTACCTGCTTTTGTATTGGTCATTCAAGAGAAATAGTAATATATTATGGATATCTATATTACTTAATTGAGCTACTTATAATGAACAATGGGGGCAAGGTATACACACTATTTCTGCCTGATATGTGAAGAAATTTACAGAAAGGTGATGAAACTGGTCTAAAATCAGTCTACTGTAAGGACAGAACAACTATTAGTTCTATTACCAGTATGCATTAGATTCTTTAGTGATTCTTCATATGGTTTGCAAAGTTCATCAGCTTATTTCTTTGGATTCAACAACCACCAATATCAAAGTAAACCAGGTACAATGGTACACTCAGAATTTTGAGAAATAATTGACTTTAAACTTTTCTGTATTGGCCTGATTCCACAGGGCATATTAGAGCCTGGTAATAACCGTGCTGTCTGCTAGTCTGCATATACCGGTATTGGAACTGTCCCATGTGTTATGTGCTCAGTCACTCAGTCATCTCTGACTCTTTTGTGACTACATGGTCTATAGCCTGCAAAGCTCCTCAGTCCATGGAATTTTCCAAGCAAGAATACTGGAGTGCGTTGCCATTTCCTATTCCAGGGGATCTTCCTGGCCCAGGGATAGAACCAGAGTCTCCTGCATTGGCAGATTTTCTACAGAGCCATCAGGGAAACCCACTGTCTTGCATATAATGAAACACTCATTCCAGTGTTATGCAAACACAAGGATTCACCAAATTAATAAGGCCCCCTGGCCTATCAGGAACAAGTTCATCTTATTTGATGAATCATAATTTAAATCAATGCATTAGTGCCTGAAAATGGCTAGAATAGAAGTAAGCATATTTCAATGATATAAAAATACTTAGTTTTAAATCCAGACATCACTGGCCAAGAAAACAGCTTAATTATACTGTGATGCAAGTGACTGACACCAGATTTCTATCATCTGGATACGAAGTGATGGGAAGGAGTGATGAGTCAGGCAGAGGTCCAAGTGAAGGAAGGAGTCAGTTCCAGCAGAAAGCACAGTGGAAGCAAGCAGAAGTGCCAGAGGCAAGTTTTCTCTTTTCCTGTGGCGTCTCCTGGACATTCTGCTTGATTCTAACTCATTTAGAATCTGAGACTATCAGGTCAAAATGGAATCTCAATGTCATTGTGTCCAAACTCCTTCATTAGGAAAATGAGGAAACATTGAGCTTGATTACACAACTTCACTGACTCTCAAGACAAACTTAGGATATAGGCATAATTTTCTTAAATGTTGAGAAAACTAAGCTTAGTGTTTAAGTAATGTGAATATTATTAGCTGTGCTGAAACCAGCCACCCTAAGGCCACAGTTCTAAGGCATCCAAAGTACATTATTTCAATCACTCTCACTAAGTGCATATTAGAGTAAACCAGGAAAAGAAAAAAAGTGAAAGTGTTAGTTGCTCAGTCATGTCCAACTCTATGCAAATCCATGGACTGTAGCCTGTCCTCTGTCCAGGCAACAATACTGAGTGGGTAGCCATTCCCTTTTCTAGGGGATCCTTCCAAGCCAGGTAGCGAACCTGAGTCTCCCTCATTGTAGGTAGATTCTTTTATCTTCTGAGCCACCATGGAAGCCCAAATCAGGAAAAGAACACTCTTACTCTAGCAACTCTTATAGCAGAGGTGGCTTGGATCATGCTGGAGGGCAGATAAAAGCTAATCCAAATAAGTCAGTTTTCTCTGTCTTTCTTTGAAAGACTGTCACTTTCATGGAGATCAAGGAACCCTTCCTACACTTCTTGTCTTGGACCAGATGAGCAGTCCTTAGACATCCCAATCTTTCTTCCACAAAGATAAGTTGTAGTATGCTTTGTTTCTTATTAACCATTATAAGTTGAATTGTATCCCCTCCAAAATTCATATGTTGAAATCCTAACTCCAGTACTCCAATTGTGACTTAGTTTGGAGACTGGATCTTTAGAGACAGTTGAGTTAAAATGAGGTCATTGTGGTGGGCTCTAATGCAATACGACTTCTGTTTTTATAAGAAGGGGAAATTTGGATACAAAAATACCCAGAGGAAAGTCCACTGACATTCTCCAAAATTTATTCTTTTTCTCCTTCATGTCTTTATATCATAATAAAAATATCAGAAAAGCAAAATTCNGGAGGAGGAGATGGCAACCCAGTCCGGTATTCTTGCCTGGGAAATCCCACAGACAGAGGAGCCTGGTGGGTTGCAGTCCATGGGGTCACAAAGAGTTGGAAACTACTTAGCACCCAAACAACAATGACAACAACAAAGATTATAATATTAACATCAATGTGTATTCATTCTAACTGTTGAAAAAAAAATTTTCTCATTCCCAGAGATAACCACACTTATTGCATATATGTTAGAGATTTTTCTAGGTCCTAAAAATCTTTTATACTAAGTGATATATTAAAAATTCATTTACTCTAATGACACAAAAATTATATTATGAACAATAAAAGTTGTAGAGGTGACAGATTTAATCAAAAGATAATTTAAATTGATGTTTAAAAAGTCAAAGTTTAATGGGTCCCAGATTGTTTTTATAGCACTGCTATTGGTTAAATACAAACGTTTTGGGGGATCGTTTCTTAGAGTAACTCTTTCCTTTTATTTGAACCACGTAGGCAAACAGGTTGTCTCTTCCTCAAGTCAAAGCTTTTTGCTCCATACTCACTTTCCTGTTCTACTTAAAATATTAGGTCCTGTGAAGATATTGATGACACCTTCCAGGTGCAGTGAGAGTGATGTACCATCAGACTCTCAAGTATCACAGACAAAGTCAATCTTCAGTTCTGGTAAGTCCTAAAACAAGGCCAGTCATGTGCCAATATTTCAGGGCACTGTCCCACATGCTTTTCCTGGAACATGACTTAAAATTGTGACTTTAAAGATCATAGGATAGCAAGATTTCTACTGGAAGAGAAGACTCAGAAACAGGACACAGTCATGTATTTAGCAGAGACCACTAGGTTAAATCCAGGCCACAGTGCTGTTTGGAACATTAGTAAATGTTATGCTAAACTCAAGTTTATTTCTACTAAAAGCTGTGAAAATTTGACATCACAGTAACTGAAATCTCATAGGGAAACCTGCAGCAATTCCATCACTACAAGCTCTTGACCTGCTAAGATATTTATAGTACCTACTCAACCTTTGTGAGTGGTTCTGTTACAGCCATTTCAGTGCCCCCCACCCCTGCCAAAAACTCACAAACTGCACTGTACCTAGTGCAGCAAATTTATTAATAGTACTTGTTGAGTGGATAATTACTGAATGAATACAATTATTTCACCTTTTGCATTAGTTTTCACAACTTGTTATTATGCATGTATATAACCATAGTATCTGAAAAAATATGCTTATTTGTTCATTTATAATCTGTTATTGCTCAGACTTAACAGAGAAAGAGCAAAAGAAAAAAGAAAAAGTTAGTGGGATCCATGAACTATGCAGAGAACCAGATTTACTTTTTACCATCTTTATGGACAAATCTGTGAGCGTGTGTTCTGCACTATCACTAAGACCATATCCATCTTGAATATTCTCTGACTATTGCTTTTCATGATCTGGGAAGGAAATGACAAATGAGACAACTGTAACTGAATTTATTCTAAAGGGCTTCTCAGACGTGCCTGAACTGAGGCTCATTAGCACCGTCTTTTTCCTTTTCATCTATCTCTTTGCCATCCTGGGAAACAGCTCCATCATTGCAGCTGTGAGCCGAGACAGCCGCCTCCACATCCCCATGTATTTCTTCCTGAAGAATCTCTCTTTCTTGGACATGTGCTATACCACAGTCATCGTCCCCAAGGCACTGATTAATTCACTCATGGGTTCAGAAGTCATCTCCTTTTGGGAATGTGTGGCTCAGCTCTTCTTATTTGTAACGCTATGTGCTTCTGAGTGCTTCCTGCTCACCTCTATGGCCTATGACCGTTGTTTGGCCATCTACAAGCCTCTCCTTTATGGTATCATTATGAGCAGAAAGCTGTGTACGGAGCTTGTTATGGTGGTCTGGTTGAGCGGAGCTCTCTATGCCATCTTTCACACCATCAACACCTTCTCCCTCCAGTTTTGTGGGCCTAATGTCATTGACCACTTTTTCTGTGACAGCTCCCCTATCATGAGACTCTCCTGCAGTGACTCCCACACCAACGAGGAAGTTGGATTTGTGGTGGGTGGGTGTACTATCCTTGGTGCCTTTGCCCTCACCATCATCTCCTATGTTCTCATCATTGCTACCATCGCTCGGACCCACTCTGCTGGTAGCCGTTGGAAGGCCTTTTCCACCTGCTCCTCTCATCTTACTACCATCACTCTATTTTATGTCACTGGGAGCATTGCTTACCTGAGACCTACTTCTCATTACTTCCCCCTTCAAGGACGGCTAGTGTCTGTGTTTTACTCCATTCTAACACCTAGTCTTAATCCTGTTGTTTACTGTCTGAGAAACACAGACATGCAGGCGGCCCTAAAGAAACTATTTGTTCCATCCAAATAGGCATATTTTTCATATATTAAGCATATTTCTCTGAACATTAACCTAGATGAAAGTTTCTCGAAACACATAATCTAGTAAAGTGAATAGTGAAGAAATAGAAAATGTGAACAGATTAATAACAAGTAGGGACATTAAAGCAGTAATAAAAAGCCTTCCAACAAAGAAAAGCCTTATACCATTGGTTTCATTGGTGAAGTGTACCAAACACTTTAAGAATTAATGCCAACCCTTCTAAAATTCTTCTAAAAAAACTGATTATGGAATACTTGCAAACTAACTTTATGGGGCCAGAATTATCTTCACACCAAGGCCAAAGACACTACAAGAAAATAAAACTGTATGAACTTGGATGAACATAGATGCAAAAATCTTCAACAAAATACTAGTAAACCTAACTCATCAGCACATTAAAAGGACATACACCATGACCAAGTGAGATTTATCCTGGGATTCCAAGGAACATATGCAAACCAATAAACATACTGCACTGCATTAACAGAAGCAAGAGTAAAATTGTATGATCATCTCTATAGATACAGGAAAAACATTTGACAAAATACAGTTTTTCATGATAAAAACTCTCAGTAAACTGGGTATAGAGGGAACATATGTGAACATAATAAAGCCCATATATAGCAAACCCACAGTTAACATCATACTCAATGATGAAAACCTGACACCTTTTCTTCTATGATTAGGAAGAAGACAAGGGTGCCCACTTTCACCCCCTCCCTCTTATTAAACACAGCACTAGAACTCCACCCAGAGGAAATAGGCAAGAAAAACAATATTTTATGTATACTTCATTACAATAAATAAATACATGAAAGAAAAAAACAACTACAAGAATTATTGTGATCCCAAAATAACCAATAGTTTCTGCTTCTCATGGATAATCTAAGCTATTTATGAATCTGAGATACTAATTATATATCCCCCACTATCCCTTTGAAACTCTATAAAGGAAGGAAAAAGGCAAATAATTGAATCAAGTTTACAGGAGAAAACTTCAGTTTTACAAGAGAATTGTGCTATAACTTCGTTTTGTTGATCTTACTATAATGAAGTAAACTTCCGCAAAAATTCTCTCCATTAGCTCTGTCATAATATAAATAGGCATTTACTTCTAACATTCAGTTCAGTTCAGTTCAGGTGCTCAGTCGTGTCCGACTCTTTGTGACCCCATGAACTGCAGCACGCCAGGCCTCCCTGTCCATCACCAACTGCCGGAGTTTACCCAAACTCATGTACATTGAGTCAGTGATGCCATCCAATCATCTCATCGTCTGTCGTCCTCTTCTCCTCCTACCCTCAATCTTTCCCAGCATCAGGGTACTTCAAATGAGTCAGCTCTTCGCATCAGGTGGCCAAAGTATTGGAGTTTCAGCTTCAACATCAACATCAGTCCTTCCAATGAACACCCAGGACTGATCTCATTTAGGATGGACTGGCTGGATCTCCTTGCAGTCCAAGGGACTCTCAAGAGTCTTCTCCAACACCACAGTTCAAAAGCACCAATTCTT